ATGTCAGCGCGAGTTTGATTTTAAAAAAAATACTTAGGTTAGCGTCAAATATTTTTCCTAAATAATGACAATGATTTTATTTCTGTTTTTCTGTTTTCATTGCAATGACGTTTGTTAAAACACCTTTTTTTTTTAAGCTTTCTTGACATGCGTTTGTACAACCACAGATGCTTTTCTTTCTCACTTAAATGTCCGTGGGTCTGCATAATTTTAACTTCTTTAAATAGATTAAATTGTATTTAACACAAATATTTCTTATTTTATTCGTTTATCGGTAAAACGAAAGTTGGTATATAATCTGGATATTTTGTATAATTTATTGATATATTTTTCGGCAAATAAAATTCGTTCGAGAAGCCAGTTTTAAAATTTATGACTTGAAACATTGCCAATTATTATTGATTTTTTACAAGTATTTATTTTGTCGTTCTGTTCATTGTTTTATCGCAACTCTCAGATTGTTAAGTTGACTGTATAAAGAAAGAATAAGTAAATTCGTCTTCCTTATCTCCTGTAACTTAGCGCTTGTAGAATAACAAACCTGAGAGGGTGTTTTTTATATAAAAAGCGAGAGAAATACTAGTAAAAAATTAATGACAACGACTTAAGAATTGAGATAAAAATCAAAAGAAATATAATGAAAGAAAGACTAATCAAAAATTAGTCATACTGTTTCATTATAAAAATAATTCACTAAATGACTTGAAATTAATACAAATCTGTTAAAAAAAATGAAAAAAATAGTTTACAGTGTACAACTAATTAATTTCTTATTCTCGATTTTAAATTAATTTTTTTCTTCCACCCTGAGTAGATTTGACAAAATTTAATTTTAAAATCGACGATGTATTGAGGCGTGAGTGTCCATGGAGATAACTCATATTTACAATTTTACTTCATTTAGGATTATTTGAAATTCCATCATAAACACGGATTTGAAAATATAATCAAAAGTGTTTGCGTTTGTTTTTCTGCTTTTGTTTTGTTTTGTGTGTGTGTATGTGTGTGTGTGTGTGTGAGTGCGAGAGAGAGAGAGTGTGTGTGTGTGTGTGTTTGTGTGTGTGTGCGAGAGAGAGAGAGTGTGTGTGTGTGTGTGTTTGTGTGCAAATGAAAAAAGTACTTGAACGTTAATGAATTCCCTTTGCATAAATCAAATTGATCGTTCCGTGATTAGAAGTGTATTCAAAAGACTGGATAACTACAACAAACAATTACTACACAACTCGAAAGCATTTCTTAGCAGCTAGCAACAGTGTTCCAAGGCAGCCTACCGAGGTTCTGATCAACTTGAAAATGTTATATACCACAAACTTACCATTTCATTTGACCTTTTGTCGGACAAAACTAAATGTAATAAACATCCCTTCCTCTAAAATACTTATCTGATCCTTGATAACAGTGACATTAATGTGGGTCTCCTGGCGTTATATGCATTTTTATTGCACCAATCAATGGCTAAGGTGAAAAGCCGTGAAAGGTTGTCGAATGTAACATGTGAACAAATACATTGCAGAAAAGTAAATATCACGTCATGCCAAGAATGTTTTCCGAAAGTTAAACTGGCGACGGTCATGTTGGACAGATCAAAACGCATCAAACAAATAATTTGTGAGCAAAAAAGACGTGAAGAAAATGTACAGTAATTTATCCTAATCAATTACACCAATCGATTCAAGAAATCATTTGATAAACAGTAAATTCTTGTCCGGCATTTCTAAGTATTGTGTAGAAGAAATCCACTTACCTTCAAAAAGGCTGAGGGCGTGCCCCTGCCGATGCCATTGGCTCCATGATACAAAGAAAAATATGGACAGGCGGCTCATTCCATCATTTACAACAGAAAACGGTTGATGGAATAGCCCAGGTGTGCTGGCTACGGATTAGTTTACCTGTTTTCGAACGTATATGAAGCCAGTGGCAATGAACAAGAAGGGAGTAAGTTGACCAGATGGACGAGTAAACTCGTGGCAGTTGGCTACAATTATTTTCGCAATTTCTCTTTAACAGTCAAAATGTCAAACAATAGTTTATATTTCAACTTTACTAAACGAACTTTAGAGTTTAAGTATTTGCTTCACAGGGGCGACATACGGTTTTAAGTTCAAAGTTTTTTTTTTCCTAGACTGGTTACCAACCACGGCTAAAGAGCCTAGACTGCTCTGCTATTTAGCCAGAGTTGGGGTGGATATTTGTGCATAAATGATGTAAGGAACCGACCGTAATTCGAACAAGAATCATCGATTTCTCCTGAGCCACTAACATTTACACCATCCGCATCACCACCGTATAAGTGCCTACACTAAATCAAAGCGGTTGTCAGAAGTTTCAAGTGGCAAATAACAGGATTTATATTTCGCCGACCATAATGATTTGGCCAAAACCCAACAGTCGACCGATATATGAAACATATAAAGGATTTCGTGTCCAAAAACCAAGGGAAGGCTAATACAGGAGGTTGACATACAAGAGAATTTAGGTGATGTGTAGTAATGAAGACGTTCCTAAACTATATTGGTTTTATTATTTTCCATCTGAACTAGTTAAGCAAAGTAAAAATAAAACCTCCTTCTTTCCTGTTCAGCAACTAAAAGACATATCTCTATTATGCTATAAATATCTGTAGTTTTCTTAAACATCCCAAAAGCCATTATGAATTCCTTTTTCAGATATTTTTCGAACGACATTTTTTATTCATTGCGAGGGCTGAATCAACATGAATTCTTCGGAAGAAGTAAAGTCTGGAAATAAAAGCAATCAAAAGTTAAGCAGGAGCAGCAGTCTAGTGGAAAGACCTCTCTCGCCTCGACCCCTCAGTAGGAAGAACAGCTGTATCCAAAACTACACTTCTATAGAAGATAAATTCTGCAATCCTAACAACCCACAAACTATAGTGATGACCGATGTAGTTAGCGCTGCCGCAGCCATTGAAGAAGGTGTCATGGTCACACCTTGCAAGGTAAGCAACACGGTATTCATCATGGGGCTATGAACTTCATTTGAATCCATAAATATATTGTTTAAAATTTGCTATATGTATAGAAGATTACTCAACATTGAAGTAATGCAGTTTGTCCGAGCACTTTCCATAGAAGTAGCAATAGAACAGTGAGAGACTTACCACATCCGTCTGTGAGAGTGGTGTTGGAGAGAGGAAAATAATTTACCACCGACAAGGGCCCGGAGACGCGTTTCGTCTCTATCGAGGCTGAAAAATGAGAACTGGGCAGCTCCTGCCCAAATATGACAATAGTACTCCATTTTGGCCTGATCTGATCTCAAGGGCGACTTTAAGGCCCAATAGTCTCTTACAGCATCCATTCATTGTGATATCCATTCATTGGGGTCTGGTAATTTTTTTTATATTTAAAAAAAAAAAAAAAAAAAAATTATTTATAAAAACCTAACGGCATGACTTCGATGTCCAAATCAAGTTTTTGTCATTTGATATTTTAAACTGGACCCTAAATTTCTTAATCTTTAAGGAGTGGATAATCTGTTCCATTTTATCTCAAGGGATTTAAATCAGCCATTATTGACCTGTCTAAAAATATAGCAGATTCTTTATAAATCCCTTTAAATGAAAACTGTACTGCTAATATTCTTTGGGTATGCTAGACTAAAATTTCTTATTTTCAAATTTCATCAATAATTTTTTCCTTATAAAGATTTAAAGCGCGCCTCAGTATTTTAGTTGTTCTACAATTAAGCCCTGATGTTTAAAACAAAGGTAGAGAGACACTGGTGTAGACATAAAAATCAACACTGCATAGTTACTGTCAGTTTCACATCTAGGTGAGTAATTTAGACTAAAGAGTTTAAAGATTGCATTGAAGCATGAAACTAAAACTTACCAAGCAATATTGATTTCTTATATGTCAACACACACACACACACACACACACACACACACACACACACACGTGTGTGTGTGTGTGTGTGTGTGCGTGCGCGCGCACGTACATGCGAGTCAAGCCCTTCCAGCTCTATGTATATGGGACTCTCTTCCGGCTCCATGCTTTCCAACCAACTTTGATCTTAAAAGATTTAAATGCAATGTCAATCGCTATCTACTGTCTTCCTGATTCCTCTTCTTTTGTTCTCAGCAATGTTTCTGTTTCTAACTTTTCCACACCCAGTAACCACTTGTCTCTCAATGTTTTTACTGCATTGCTTGGGGTGAAATCGATTTTTTAGAAAATAAAATATTTTGTTTACGTTTCGGGTACAAAAATAAACTTAGCAGCGGTGGTTTTCAAAAGGATCCCAGCAAGAAGTGCGCATATCTAAAAGGGTTAATTGGACTTTGCTTAGATGTGAAAGTTTTCCGTGGTTGAATAAATCCTAGTCGGGTTCGTTACATTCACTTACAAGCAAATACCCTTGGGAAAGGCATGAATCCATCTTATCCCCTACTATTAAATAGTAGAACTTGTAGCTGGAAAAATCATTGTTATTCTCAAAAAATAATTATTCTTACATTCCGAAATATGCTTCGGCTTTGAGGATCCTTAAAGTGTTAATAAACCTGACAGTGGTTTCGGAGGGTTGAATCCTCTCAGAAGGCATATTTTCTTTATTAAAACCCTCGAAAAGCCAGTAAACGTAAATTTACACTGTTTAAAAAAAGGATGTCAGCTCAAACACGTGTATTCACTAAATATAACGTTTAAAGTAATCATGTCGGATTACAAATAAAATATATGAATATATTCTTTAGAAAACAAATATATGAATTTCTTCAGATGTTATTGGCGAAGAGACTTTCTAAACTCATCTTGTGCACGCTTGAAATTCTTTGCAAGTCATTTCTTTTTAATTGAATCTGCTTCTTCATCAATAATGTTGTTTCCATTTCAGAAATCCGTCATGTCCAATAGCCTGGGAATGGAATTATATTTCAAGAAGGAATTTCTTCAAGCAACTGGAAGGTTTTCATATATTTTATATCGTCATTTTAAGAACTTGAAAAAGAATGATTGGCAGTTAATAGATATAGAGTTTTATTTAAGACAATTTTTCTTAAAAAAATGAGGAGTGAGATTGAGAAAGAGAAGAAAAAGAAAAGGGAGAAAGATAGAAGGGAGAAAGTAGGGAGAGAAAGAAAGGGTGAAAGAGGAAAGAGAAGAGAGAGAAAAGAAAGAGGGGAGAAAAGAAGAGAGAAAATGGAGAGAGAAGAAAGACTGAAAGGGGAGAGAGAGAGAGGAAAGAGAGAACGTACAAAGAAAGAGAGAAGAAAGAGAGAAGGGATAAAGAGAAGAACGTGATAGGAAAGAGGGAATGAAGAAGAAATATGAAAGAGCGAAGGGAAAATGAGAGAAAAGGTGAGAAGGGAGGAAGAGAAAAAGAGAGGAGGAAGATAGGAGAGAGAACGAGAAGTAAGAGAGAAGGGAGAGAGAGAGAGAGAAGAAAAGAGAGAAGGGAGAGAAGAAAAGGAAAAGGGTAAGACAGAGGAGAGGGAGAGAATAAATGGAGAAAAAAGAAGAGAGAGAAGGGAGAAAGATAGAGAGAAGGGAAAAAGTGAAGAAAGAGGAACGACATAAGGGAGAAAGAGAGAGAAAAAAGAGTGGAGAGAGAGAGTGAGAAGAAAGAGCGAAGAAAGAGAGAGAAGGACACGAGAGAGGGGAAAGAGAAAATGGAGAAAGAGATGAGAGAAAGAGAATAAGAGAAAGGAAAACGAGAAGAGAGAGCAAAGATAGAAGGGAGTAAGAATGGGGAGGAAAGAAAAACGAGAAGAGAGTCAGAAGGGGCAGAGCGTATCCAATTCGTGAGTGTTTCTCTCTGTAGACCCTTGACTATTAATGGTACTCCCACCTAGCTTGGAGTGAATTTCAAAAAAAAAAAGTAATAAGAAATAATGTCGGATAAAAAAAAAATTTTATATATAATATATATAATAAAAAAAAAAGAAAAAGAAACAACCCGAAAAGGATAAATCCCAGAAAATCTCGCTGGCTTGTTGAGCTAAATGTCTATACATCAATAACAAGAAGTTTTCATGCTTTCCTTTTCCAAATATTAAAACGACCAATTATAACACTTCCACCCAAACAATGATTACAGCAATATCAAAAAATTTCGAAAATTCTTCGACATAATTGTACAAATGGGGACATAGCAATGTAATTCGACACTTTTCTTCCGTTGCAGCTTCAAGGAACGCGGGGCGAGATATGCATTGAAGATGCTTAGCGAGGTAAGACATAATGCTGGAATAAAATTGTTTATATAAAACGTTATCTAAGAGTGGGTGCTGAAATTCTTCCAAATGTCCCTTCTCAAATAACTAAAACATCTGAATATGCTTTGAAACAGATTCTTGTTCGGGTCGAGCATTTTTCAGCAGTCCTCGTATATTGATTATGGTATTCACAAAATTTTCATCTCAAAAAGTTTTATTTAATAATAATTATTTAGACTTTTGGAAAATCGATCTCGCTTTTTTCGATACGAATGCACAGATGCTACACTGATCCTTCATTGAGACGGGGTGCTTTCTCCTTCACTAACTCACATTTGGTGAAGACTGGAGATCACAACGGCCGAAATGTTGTGATATCGCAACAAAGATGAGAAAATTAATTCGAACTAACCTTTTGTGATATTTTTTGGAGGATAAAAAAAGAATGAAAAATTATTAATAAAAGAAACCCAGAATCTAATTTGACTGGCATTTTTTAATATTTCGATAATCGTTTGCGTGTCCATGATGTGACTTAGCAAGTAACCAGAAAGCACTTTCATGCGCATGCGTAGTTACTCACCCCTTGTGGGTACACGGTTTTTACTGCCATAGCACTGAGTGAAATTGTGTAAGGTGTAACGGTTGCTTTCACAAAGAATGCGCCTCAAGATTTTATTCAATAACCGAAACCGCGTTAAAATGTTGGTACCATTATGTCAAAATTGGTAATGAATAATGGTAAAAGATATACACGATGTGAAAGGCCTTCAACAAGTAGACAACACGAAGGCGAGAATTAGTAAAAGATCTGGGAACTCCACTGACTGTCTGAAAAGTACCACCCATTCCTTATTCTCTGTACAGTTCTTTCCTTTTTCCTGTTTGTTTGTTTCTTTGTTTTTTCTTTGACATTTTTGTTTTCTTCGCAAAACATCACTTTAGTCTATTGTCAACTCCACCCTACAGTCCAAATTTGACACCCTAAGATAGAGTAGATAGCTAATGTGTGCCACTACTAGCTCGGCCACAGAGACTAGCCCCCTGCACACATCTTTGAATGAATCTATTGACAACAGTATGAACTAGCCGAAATAGTTTAACTCAAAAAGTGCTTTCCTTGGTTAAAAAAAAGATGCACGTTCGATTCTTGTCGGAGGTGCAATTTTTCTTTAGTCGGACTTCACAATTGTTATAGATTGGTGATTAGAGTCAACATTGCTTGTTATAAATTTCACTGTTTATGAAAATAAAAAAGAGATTGAAACTCAAACATGTGTAAACCGTTAAAAAATAGCGTTTATAGTAATAAGAAATAATGTCGGATAAAAAATGTTTTATATAAATATATATATATATATATATATATATATATATATATATATATATATATATATATAGATAAAAATATGACAAAGCGGAAAAAGTTTTCTTGTCGTACCTATCATCCTTTAGGACTTCAATGGACTAAATTTGTTTTGTTAGTCAATAAAATCCCAAAGGATGAAATGCGTTACAAGAAAACTTTTTCCTCTTTGTCATACATTTCCCCAATATTGTTCATGAGATATAAAAAAATATATATATATCGTTATCTCATACACAAATTAATATGAAAGATGACATTCTTTGTAAAGAAATGTAATTCCATGAGTTTACCTTGACTTTCATAATCTTTTATCCGTACTTTTAAGTCTCTCCAATTCCTTGTTCTACTTCATGTTGCATTCAGTGGATTATGACTAAATACAAGATGAGGAACAAACCTATTTTAACAAAAGATAAATATTTAAGATTTGTTTATCACCGAAAAGGATAACTGTAAATCATTTTCATAAGTAAACGGAGAATGTTGTAGCTTGGAGTGCGGTATGAGTTGGCAAAATAAGTGAAGTAGTTTCTTAAGTCGTGGTGTAACAGTTAAGAAATGGATGGCCGAACAGTGGGATGGGGAGACTTAGCAGCAAAGGGAGAAAAACTGCTAAGAGCCACACGAGGTAGGAAGTTGTAGAGAGCTATGATCTTTTGAAAGGATGTGGCACATAGAAGAGGAAAAAGTGAGGATTAAACTTCCTATAAATGATATGCGTGACTTACTCGCCAACCATTACAGCGCGTCCCTGACAAAGGCAAATATGAAATTAATTGTATAATATTACCCAATGTTTTCAATATTCATAAGTGAGGCTCTTGCAAACAGAAATTATATCAGTTTATTCTTCGGCCATTTTTGTAACTCTTGCTTTTCTTTTTAAGGAGCAGAAGAAAATAGGAGTGATAGCAGCCAGTGCAGGAAATCACGCTTTGGCCCTCTCTTACCATGGCAACAACCTCGGTATCCCCGTCACAGTTATAATGCCTGTCATTGCTCCAATTATGAAGATTCAGGCGTGTCAGTTATATAATGCCAATGTCTCTATTAAAGGAGACGATATTAGCGAGGTAACTACCATTTTGTAATTTTTTTCAAAACATCTTTCGGATTGATACGTACTGATTTTACTTTTCAATAATGATCCTGTGTCCTAAAATAAATTTAATTTAAAACAAAGTTTTTATTTAATAATAATTATTTAGTTAAGTTTCGATCATATACTGAGTTAAGTAGAGCGCACAATTACTGCACCGGTCCTCAACAGAAGACGGAAAAGTGACATTTTCGATACGAATGCACAGATGCTACACTGATCCTTCATTGATGAGTGAAGACTGAAGAGTAACATTGATCTGAGTTAAAGTGCATAAACATTCTGATCCTAGACAGAAGTGTCGATCCATAGATAAATAATCTCATAATTCCTTAGAGTAGAATTATAATGCTAGAATAAATATAATTCTCTGATTCTAGGATTGATTTCGCTCTTAACATTGGATTGTAACACCTTGTTGATAGAGTTCAAGCCAAATAGTTTATTTTTTAACATAATAAATTACTATTATTTTTTTTAAGCATAATTGAAATTAGTAAAAATTGAACGCGTTTTGTGATCAAATCAATGAATGGGAAGTCAAATTCTATTTTTTAATGGAAAACTGAAAGCTTAAGTCTAATAAAAAAGAATGAAAAATATTAATAAAAAGAAACCCAGAATCTAATTTGACTGTTCGAACGAGTATCCCATTTTAACGGTTGCAGTCACAATGTCTGTGACACAGTTCTTCAATTCGAAGTTCTTAAAAGATTACTGAATACAAAAGACAACAGAAGGCCCTGGTGTACAACAGAACAAAAGTTGTGCCTGCAGCAACTAAAATGCAGCCACAGTCAATCGATACCTGTTCCATATTGCAACAAATTTTAAATTTTATTTCGTTCTTTTTACGCTTATGTCAAGATGATAAAATTTTCAAATCTAAAAAATAATTTAATTTTTTTTTTTTTTTTTTTTTTTAGATTTAATTTTATATTATTCGGATGGGATTTTGAAATATGGATCAATATATAAAATTTATATTCTATAACAGATTTTTTAAACGTACAAAAAATGCTTTTGTGCTGCGTTACAAAGTTATAATTTTTCAGCTGCCCACCTATTGTTAAATTATGTTTTTTTGAATATTTTCTTTCATCCTTCCTATATATATTTTAATGAGAAATACATATTGTGCACTCGTAAATAAACCATTTGGTATAAATATTGCCGTTATTTTTATATTATATTATTACTATGATAATATATTAAACGAAAAATTTATATGGTTTATAACAAAACGTACAGTAAATTTTTGCAGTGAAAAACAATCATTGTCTCGATGTTTACGTTTTCTCAAATTATTCTCTGAGCTTGCATGGATACAAGATTTTTTTTTATGGAATTATTCTTTGAATAGGCAATATTATATATATATATATATATATATATAATATAAGATAGAAATGGTTTTTCTTAAAGACAAAATTTACAATTAACAGTTTTTTTGAACATCATGTGAATATTTATGCACGTTATTGGTTATCGCACTGTTGTAACGGAGTTATCAAAAACAACAGTAAAACGGGAATTGGTTTAACAATAAGTTTATTACATTTTTGTCGGAACGTTTGCATAATTCAAAATGTTAATTTTTTGGTACAGGGGAATTGTTTAAAAATATGTTCGGAGAAATAGAAACTAGGGGAGAAATGTTTAGTCCGTGAATGAAAGCAGTTTCAACTCTGGCTGACAAAACAAATACGGACATTCTGGTACTTTTCCAAATTACGTATATTCTTCTCAGCCACCCTTCATTTCGGAAGAAAAGCAAGAAATGATGATGTCATCATCAAGGTCGGTTTTTTAGTGGAGTGTTGTGACGGCAAAATCTTTTATACGTAGACCCAGCATACAGGGTCGGTTTTGCTCATCTATGATATTTTTTTATACCAGACGAGATGGTCTGCCCATTTATTGGCATAGTCTCGTCTGTCGAGAGCCTAATTTTAAAGGATATGAGAACTACCTGACTTTTGACGCAAGAAATATGTACTATATTCACTGACCAAGTCTTTTGTTTTTTTATTTAATTTTGAACAGGAGGCTATAGTTTTATGTCTTTTCGTCCGAAGGCCGAATCGAAAAAACGTCATTAGTGAAATATTCTACCTCATTTCAAAATACCTCCCTTTTGAGACTTCACCTCCTCTGGAGGCCATACCTCTTTCCTTTGGGATCTATGTCCAGGATTTCTGTTAGACTTTTTCTTTTAACTAAAATTTCTAAAACAAGTCACCTATTGGGTGACAGATTTTCCCATTTTCTCGTACAAACATATTTCAACATTTAGTCTTTTTGCATTCATTACTATGTTTTACTATCTATGTATTTTGTTCGGATGCCAGCAAATTTTATCTTTGATCTAGAATTTCTGCGTATAATGCGACCTTTAGATAAGACGAGTCAATTTATTGATACTGTAGTATAAGACGTATAATTATATAAAAGCATTGGTTCTCAGTCTTTAAAATTTAAATGTCAAAACCAATTCTATGATGTTTTTCTACGCCTTTTAAAAAGCTTTTCAATTGGTTTAGGTTACATTTTTGT